TGATGCCTTGTGCGTCCCTGTGCCTTTAAGGGGGTTGGGCTGCCTCCTAACAAACCTGCACCCAATTTCATCTTTTGCCACATGTGCTCCAAGATGGAGACTCTCATAGGTCAGAGTTAGGACCGCACTACATAGAGGAGCCTTGACAAGGCAGTGCAGCTTTCACATATTCTGCAGAAGACGTGTATCTAAAACCTCAGTTTTTAACCTTAGCTGTTGGACAAGTTTTTTTTTGCATGCTGGCTTGTGAGTGTGCTGGGAAACTTTTTGCTGCTAGGGAACCACAACCTAGTGTAGTATATTATAAATATACCAAATGTAAGAAAAGTTGCACTTCCAAAACATGTGGGTGGCATGAGCTTTTCTAGGGATCTTTCCAGGATCTCAGACGACGGGATACAGTGGCACAGGAAACGATACAAAGTAACTTCTATCGATTCACCAAGTTACTGAGCAGGTGCAGGGAAAAGGTGGCTGGTAGGAAAGATAAAAACACAGACCACGTGTAAACATAAAGATGACACCTATATTAAAAATGTACTCAGTTCCAGGAATCATGTGGTGTTCACTCTGTACCCTGGAACAGGTATATTAGGGACAGCCAGAACCCCACATGAATCCTGCAACTGATAGCGGTATTCTTTGGAAGTAGGGCATCTGTGAGTACATTTTAATCAACTATCAAGCTAAAATGTCATGTTTGGTGTAAACAAAACAGTGTACATTGTCATAAACACCCCACCATGAGAACCCGTTCACACCAGGGCGGTAGCGGTTCAGCGTGGTTTCCACCAATTTTTGAAAGGGCGATTTTGATTGTGTGTCCGTGCTGAAATGCAATAAAAAATGCCCCAAAACGTGCTGATTAGCGTGTTTTCGTTGACATCTATATAGGAAATGCGCTTATCAGTGCTGAAAAAGTAGCTCAGGGAGCAGTTTGGCAGCAGGCGGATTGAAACGTGCAATTGCGTGAACGGGCCCCATAGGCATAAATGTGTTTTCTACTGTTGGCGGTTCAGAGCAGAAAAATCCAAGCGACCGAACCGCCCTGGTGTGAACGGGGCCTGTGGTGGTAGCATCATGCTGTAAGGATGCTTTCCTGCAGTAGGTCCTAGAAGGCTTATAAAAAAGAATCCAGCAAACAGGAAAATCCTGGGGGAAAAGCTGATGCAGACTGCAGGACATCTGAACCTTGTTCATAAAAACTATATAAAAAGGCTTTTCTATCATGATCCCCCATTGGCAGTTGGAGCAGATTTCCAGAGGTATAGGGAAAAATGACAATGCCCAGATCTGTAAAGCCTATAGAGACCCTCTCCCCACAAACTCAAAGCTGTCATTTAGGCCAAAGGAGCATCTATTATAGGGGTAAGCAACCTCAGCACTCTAGCTGTTGTGAAACTACAAGTCCTATGAGCCATTGCAAGACTGACAGCCACAGGCATCCCTCCCAGAGTCATGATGGGATTTTTCCAAGAGGGTGAATTTTTTTATTTATTTATAGGAATTGCGCGTTTCTATATCATTGTGGAGACATTATTAATGAGTGAGGACCACATGCATTCAAGCCATGTTTCCACAACGTTCACACAACACCTCCCTCTCCTACTGAATTGCCAACATACCACACCAGTAGTCCAGAAGCAAGCTTTAAAGGAGAACTATGAGGTGAGTGCTTTTCACTCACCTCATAGTTCTAGCCGACCTGTGACAATGAGACTGTCACAGGTCGGCTCAGTACATTGGGAAGTGAGCGAAAACATACCGGTGTTCGCTCACTTCTCGATCCTGTCACGGCTCTCTGCCATGACAGGGAAGGGATGGCTTCCCCCCTCCCCGCTCCGCCAGCGCTGACTGGCAGAACGGACGGGGCGGGTACAGCTGGCTCTGCTTCTAGATAGGCAGAGCCAGCTGTCGCTCACGCAGCTGAGCGGATCCAGACATAATTGTCGGGATCCGCTTCAGCTGCGGCATCTCTGTATACCGCGAGCTGTAGCTCGCGGTATACGGAGCTTAGGGTAACGGGAGGACGCTAGTTTGTGTCCTCCCGTTACCCTAAAGGAGAACTATGGGGAAAAGCCCTAACCCAAAAGTTCTCCTTTAACCATAAAGCAGATTTGTACCCATATCTTTAAAATAACAACAAACACACCTTTAGTAATGACAATCTACAAACACATACTCCTAGATAATTGCCGGCTTTGTATTCCTGGCATACCTTGTTTCTCTTTTCTTCCCCAGTTTTCTCACAGTGGCCATTTTTGCTCAGGGCAGAAAATTACATCTCCCTTTACTTCCTGGATCTCTGGCACATGTGACTAGGACATGTGACCATGCACATGATCTCGGGGGAGGAAAATGCCTTTCCCTGGGATCTCCTGACATTACAGATGAGATTTCCCAGCAATGCTCTCCTGATGAAACCTTCCCAGGATGCAACACTTGGGCACATGACATCATTTGTGCCAGAACTGGACCAGGAAGTAGATAAACTTTATTTGTAAGTAAATGAAAAACAAGTTTGTTTAACTAATGAATGTAAGATGTGTTTAAATCAGCATGTGGAGCTGTATACTGCTGTGATTTTTAGTGAAGGGGGGTAAAGGTCTGCATTAAAAATAGTCGCATTGTAACAAAACTATACCAAATAAAAAAGCACTCCATTGTCAGTAGTGACTGAATAACTTTATCATGTATCTCAGCGAGTGTACTCAACAAAAATAGTCTTCATTACATCACAAAACTGTAAGTCTTCTGTACAAGGTGAATAAATTACATCGATTATTCATGAATGGAAATGCCTCAAATGTGCGAAGGAATTACATGCAATTCAGTTCACACTTAACATCAGGAAGGAAAAAAAACCCCATACATTTATACCAATATATATATTAATATAATATGCATATAATAAATCAGAATTCTCTTCTACTAAATAAAAAGAACTTAGAACTCCTCTTTGTGACATTCAGACTTTGCATCATCCAAATATACATTAAAAAAAAAACAAAAACAAACATGCGTGACAGATGAAAAAAGGAGTAGTTATTCATGGAACTTCCACTTTCAGAATGGTCGTCATATCAGCCCCCTTTTTCATAGTATAAATAAATAGTCCAAAAAGCAATTTTTCTTTTGATAAAAACTAGCCAGATTTTTTTCTTTTTTAAATAAAAATGACTCAAACCAAATCAGGGCTTCTGATACTGATTCTGATCCAGTACCGCAGCCACAGTAGCCTAGTGACAGTAGGAAATGTCAATTGTAGCAGCGGGTAATACAGTATTCCTTCTCAAAATGACAGTGTACATGATAATTACAATCTCATTATACAGTCAGCCTTCATCTGAACAGGCTCTCAGCTATAGACCAATTGCAATAACCAGTATTCTTCGGCCAGCCTCATTCTGCCTGCAAACTGATGACAGAAATGGAAAAGTATTTTAAAAGTATTAAGAGCAACAAAAAATATACTATACATATATCATTTCTTTTTTATTTCTTCTGTAAAGGAAACATTGCACATTTGCCATCCTAAGATTAAGGATTATAGAAAGGAAGTAGGGTTCAGATTAGTAGGCTTTGGTACACAATGGAAGTCACTTTAGACATAAAGTATTACGTTGAACTAATAAGAGCTGTCTAAAGCAACAGGCCATCGGCGAGATCGTCCTGGGCCGCTGTGGTGCAGCTTCAACCTTTGCTGTCCTTACAGTATTGCTACAGATCCAATTAGCCTGCTTGCTTTGCCTGACAGTAAGGCTGGAAATCAGCAGGAATGATAACGTTGTGACTGAGTCTTCGGAACACCGAGTAGATACTGTGTGATATCAGTCAGGCAGGGCAGCACCTCCAGCGGGGGAGAGTTGAGCGGCACAGGATTCTTGTCAAAGATTAGTGCTCGAGACACTGGCGTCGGGGAGGTAAGTTGAGACAACGCGGTAGTTCTGGGCACGACGTATCATGTCCCGGATTTCCATGTTCAGGTCCATAAGCTTGGTGCAGATATCAGTCAAGTTCTGGTTGGATCCCACCAGAGCATACGTGCCAGTCTGTCCAAGGGTTTGGTGACGGAAGTAGATGTTCAGTAGTGTTTGGACCTCATCATCAGCACCGCTTCCAAATATGTCATTAGGCCACAGTTTCCTACAAAACAAATGTGCATTGGTTGATTATTAAGTGGTGCAGCAATGTGCTTGTCTGTCTGTAGTTGTTTAGTGATCTTACAGTTCCATTTTACAGATTAAATCTCTAACTGGGTCAAGATTATTAACTGCTGTATAGAGTTCTTCAATTGATATTGTTTGGTCATAATACCTAGAGAACCAGATAAAAGTGGAGGTGTTCTTCAACCAGATGCTAGTTTATATTTAAAGTGACATTAAACCCTCAGATTTTTTTAACATAAACCAATACTGTAATGTGTGCCTTATTGTAATCCATGGTTGTTTCCCTTCTCTTTGCTGCTCTTCCTTTTAAATCTGTATCTGTTCTCATGCTGGGCAGAACTTCTGTTTTGCAGCAGACTGCCTTGTCTCTGGAATGGATACATGGTGTCTGTGTGAAGGTTCACAACCTGAGCCAGCACTACAGGAAGAGGCAGTCAGCTGCAAAGGGAAGTTCTCCCCAAGCATGAGAAGAGATACGGATTTAAAAGGAAGAGCAGCAAAGAGAAGGGAAACTACCATGGATTACAGTAAGGCACACATTACAGTATTGGTTTATGTCTGACCGGAAGTTCCGGTATCGGGGGTAAGTATCGGAACATTCGGGCGAGTACTCGTACTCACCCGAATACTCAGTATTGGCACTAGTATCAGTACATCCCTACTTACAATAGAATTTCTCACAGTTTATCTATATTTTGCATCAGGAGAAACTGGTGTCCATTGAAATGATCAGATAGTCTGCATATTAGCAGGCCTCTCAGCTTCAGAGCTTCGAGGTAAAACAGTTATAAGGTCATATTTACAGACCTGAAGAGCACTGCTATTAGAATCTAGACCAGGGTTCTGACAACCTTACTACTGATGTTGTATGTGTAGACTCACCTGCACTGGCGAATTTGCCGTATTGCCTTCCCAAGCTCATTCGTTTTCAAACATTCCAACATGGACTGTATGGCAAACTCAGTGGAACTGAAGGTGGGCTCGTAAGAGGTGGCATCCATATTGAGAGACTCTGCTGCAATGTATATACTGGCCTCCTTCAGGTTCTTCTTAAGCTCATTTAGTTCTCTTGACATGTTTAGCAGCTGTAAGGGAAGCAATGAGAAGTGTTACTGGAAATATCATTTTACAAACCTACCACAGAGGAGGAATTAATTCTCACAATACAATTAGATTCTAAAAAATGACAAGCCCTCTGTGTGTGCTTTTACTAGTCACACGTGCAGACATTGGAATTTTAGATGCTGTGTATAGCCATTTCTTTCTATAAAGTTTGTTATAGAACCAGCAAGATGTAGTAGAGACATGATAGGCGCAGATTTATTTTGTGGGGTTAGGTACTACATACTGTATATGCTGCTCTATTTTGCACGTTAAGACAGTTATATACAATCCAGTTTTAGGTTTAGCATCAACTATGTAGTACAAGGGCCTAATTAGGCAACCCATTGTATTTACGGCCAATCACTACGCAGCTGGTGGTAAAATGAACTGAGATAGTAGGCTCAATTTCTAATGTCTATGGCCAGCACCTCTAATCTTTATTAGGCTGTACAACACTGTTCCCTACGGTGATGAGTAGAGAATAGTTTGGGCTTGGTGCAAACTAATTTCACTTGAGTTGGCCCATGCCCGCTCAAAACTCTGACCGCCACTTCCTCCTCCCATGCAATCAGTGTCGGCAGTTGTGGTCGGGGCAAAGTGGGGCATGCGCCTCTCCACAACATATCAGGTTGGGGTGGGGGGTGGCAGTCAGAGATTTGAATGGGCTTAGGCGAACTCAGGCAAACTGGGTTCAAACCAAGCCCAGGCTCATCTCTAGTGATGAGTTGTCAGCTCCAACCTCTGATTCTATATATAAAGTACACCTACAATAAACCTCTATATGTAATAACATCTCTAGCTGTGATAGTTGCCTGTACTCGCTTTTTTGCTGAAGCTATTTATACCTTTGTGTATGTATAACCCAACTTCTTTGTTGTAGTTTTGGACAGAGGAGGCAAGGGGTAGACCCCTATCATGTCTTTTTTTGCTGTCTGCTAGGTAGATTCACCCTCTCTAGTGTCTTGGCGACCACCTTCCACTTGCAAATGGGGCCGGATTGCTGAGTCTCACAAATTCCTCAGTAAGACTTGTGATCAGCTGGGGGCCAGAGGCCCTGTACAACACAATAACAGTCGACTGTACCTGGATGCAGACTGTTTGCATCAAGGTGCAATCGGCCACAGTAATGGTAGCATGTGCAATTACATGCAAAGAGCTGGAGGCGGTAGCAGCGGTCATTGTATTGTACAGAGCCTCCTGCCTGGAGCTGATCACGAGTCTGCATGCTGCAATTACCTGCGTCCGACTGCACCTGGATGCAAACAGTCTACGTCCATGTATGGTTGTTTGCCATTGTATTGTACACAGCCTCCGGCCCACAGCTGATCACATGAGCCTGTGTGCTGCATGCTGTAATTACCTGCGGCCGACTGCACTTGGATGCAAACAGCTAAGTGTGGTTGTTTGTCATTGTATTGTGCAAAGCCTCCGGCCCACAGCTGATTGCATGAGTCTTAGAGGGGAATTTGTAAGACTGAGCAATCCCGCCCTATTCGCAAGTGTGCTCCGAAACAGCTCCGTTCAGCAGGGGATCCGTACACAGATTCCCTGCTGATCGGAACTGATGGGGTCTGTGTAAAAGCGGCCTTACTTCCTGTTGCATCTCCAAAACAGGAAATTAAAGGAATTCTCCACAATGGGACACAGACAACAAAAATACCCTTTAATTTGTTTGTTTTGAAAAAATATCATTAACCTCGACTGTGAATTCCAACATATGGGGGTGACAGGTTGTCTATTAATGTAACCTCTTTTCATGGGGGGGGGGTTCAAATATTTTGGACAGTAAAACACTAAACGTGTGCTTGCTCTTTCCCAGATATAACTGAACCAGGGCTTGTATATATGAATACAATACACTGAGCAGGCTTACTTACCTCTGGCATTGTGCTGACCTCATGGATTTGCCCAATTAGTTTACAATAAGACTGAAAAAGCAGCAGCAGCTGGAAGTGAAGCTTGTACAATCGTTGACACAGTTCCAATTGCTGCAATCAGATGAACAAATATTTATATTAGAATACAGTATACATTTTTCCTGCTGCATTAGACAATGTTCACAAATACATTTTATTCCGTACATGCCAATGTTTTTATTACATGCACAATGCACATAATTCATTCTGCTACGTTTATGCAAATGAACATAATTTGTTTACCAACATACAGTATATGACTGTACTAGGCATAGGTCATTGACAGCCTACGCCCAGATACAAATGAAGACCCCTCTGTAGATTTGATAGACAGACACAGCACATAGGCTCTGAAAGGGAAAAACTTAGTTGACACAAAATCACTATTCACAATGGGAAAATGTGCAGCCGGTCAAATATTTCTGATCCAGCCAACTGGCGTTTATTTGAGTGTCAAAATGTACTTGTTCAGATTTCGTGACACACATCAACTTTTTAAAGCAAACCTTTGCCTCACAAATTTATTGTAAATGCAATTTATTACCTTTAAGAGGGTTTTCAGACAAAATACAATGCTTCTGTACTCTGTGTGGCAACATCGAATGTTCCACACTTACAGGAACCTCCATATTTCACAAAGATCTGTGATATTAGACTACATTATCTTCACTGCCTGCTGCTGAAATCTCAAAGTATAGAAATAATCGCCGCCAAACCAATGGGTGCCTTTAAGTATTCATAATTTGATCAAACAAAAAGCATTCTAAGTGTTATCTAAGGTGGTCCAGCCCAAAGCACTGGCATTTAGGCCTAATGTTGATGACAGTTAAGGCAGTCTGTTTGATATAGACTCCTGTGTATAACCAAATCAGGATTAGATAGATCACAGCTTAGACCTATGTGCAGCTTGTAATATTAAGCTCTCTGGTTATGCTCAAATGATGTTCAAGCTGCTGCCCGCATACCAGACACAGATAAGAGCACAAATAGGATGCTGGGAGGAGGTGGATTCCTGTGGATGTGGCTGCAAATTGGTTTTCTGCAGTGCTTGTTTATTAAAATCTCTGAGCTGCAGAAATGAATCATAAATATGGACAAGAACACAGCCAATTATACAGCCCAGTCATGTCCAAAGACCTAACGCAGTATATTTTAAGTGTGCACATATAAAGACAGGACGTTAAGGATTAATGCGATTACGGTGATTTCTTTTTATTTCCAGGTATTACATCCATGAACAGCTGTACTACAGATACATAAACTCTCCTCCTAGTGGTTATATGCATTTCATGTCAGTCACATAACCCCCAATATTAATCACTGTTGAAATGAAATATTGGCAACTCCATGTAGAGAGCATATTTTCAGTCTCCAGACCAATAAACTTTTATTGTGAGTAAGTAACAATAAGGTGACCATAAATCGCCCAATAATACCAAGCAATGGTCCTGGTATAGAGAATTGCTAGTAATCATCAGACCTCCTGTGACCTCTTGGGGTGACGAGTGTCTGTGATCAGAATCTGATCCTTCCTTCTTCTACTGAGTAGAGACAAGAATGAAAGGCGCTGCACAATCTATTAGTCATTCTGACACTAGCAGCATATTGGAGGAAAGCCCCATATCTGTGCAGCATGGCTAAGAAGAAAGCAATGCCTCCATATGTAATGAGGCCATATGACAAGATTACACACTACACACGGTGCAAGGATTTCACAATAACAGCACACAGTGATTCATTACAATAAACTGTTATTTATATCTCAAAGAAGCTTTACAGGGACTAGATTTTCCTTTTAAAGCATAACAGTTAAACTCAGCTTTGTTTAGAACCATCTCATTCATGGGTCTCTAGTGACACTATACGGCCCTAAGATCATATACACATTTTATTCTGGCCAAAGAAATTCCTGAGTCTTGATCAGTAAAAAGCTTGCACGGAAATGCATACATTTCTCATTCCATTCCCTCTGCTCTGTTTTCACTGTCATTTTCTTGTTTGGATTCCATTTACGCACTTATGCATATGCGTGTATACACATATACATGCATTTACAAGCCTATGCACAAAAAATGAATGTCCTCAGATGCAGATTTTTCGGTTTTGTGCTTCAGATCTGAATGTAGAGCATTTTTATGCACCTGTGTGCATAATTCCATTGAAAACAATATACCTGCATTCAGATCCATAAACAAAAAACACTTTGCAGTGTGTTTTATTTTACAGCCATGTGCATGAGGCCTAAGACATAAGGCACAAGTCTGTGTTATCACAAATTTCTAGTTATCTAAATACTGGGTTAGACCTAAAATACATGTACAAAAGTCTGTTTGTTTTCAATATGTGTAGATCCATAAATCTGCTTCAAATATGCATAGAACCACAAATATGACTCAAACCTACACCTATCCGCAAGGTCGGATTTCCATTATTGAAGTCTGTAGGAACAACCTTTGACACCTAGATTGGCCTCCACCTCTGCTAGAATTACCTCTGTTACACAGAACTTTTCTTGTTTTAGAAACAATGTAAGAGAACAGTTCCAGATGGAAGAGAATATAGTACAGAAGGGACACTTACTCCAATGAGAATATAGTAAAGAATGGACACTTACTGCAAGAGATTCCATTTGCTAGTCAGGGAGCATGGAGTGAAAGAACAGGAGAAGAGAGGACAGTGTCAAGTCAATGCATGCAACACAAAGAACACAGATCTGTCACAGCTACACGCTAAGCAGTGCTAGCGGCCATTTTTCAACCTTCGGAGGGGTTGAAAAGATGTTATACCTAAAGCATGCAGGATGGCTACACAAGCTCAGTAAAATAGTGACAGGAACACCAGACTAGTGAGAACAAACATTCTTTTATGAAAACAGTGGACTTTGTGTACAAGTAGGCCTGAAACACGGACTGCGTTGTCCCTCTTAACCCTTTCCTTTGTTTCGTTTTTGATAAATAACACTAAGAACATGTTTGCTAATGGAAGCACAGACAGTCCATCTTTCAGACACGCCATAAACAAAGCCCAGTGTCACAGTGAGGAAAGCTGTTACTGTTTTTAAGTAGTAAGAAGAATAGGCCTTGAAAAATAGAAGCGGAAAGGAAAGGACGGATGTTACCAACAGCAACCAGATTCCAGATGTCATTTTTCCTATAGTTTGACAGTGAAATGGAGAAGCTGGTTGCTAGAAGTAACACTTTTATTGTTCCTTGTTTCAAGTTTGTCGTGTAAGAGCCCCAATACGGACAGCTGTCTAATAACACAGTGGAATCGGCATCACTATTGTTAGCAGTGGAACTGACTTTATATTTTACTTGCCCCAATGTCACGTTTTCCACAATACTTATTATGAAAACTTGAATTTCAGGCTGAAGCAACACTGTTCTGTTTGTCAGGAACTGGACAGGTTAGGGTCACTTGTAGTACAAGTGTGTCTCATGAATATATGCACACACACTAATATATAATACCAGATAACATTCCCAGACCTTGGCCTGCTCTCTTTTACTATCTAAAGCAATCAGTCTGTTCCTGCCTAAATTCAGATAACTCCAGCTAAAACCTCTCATTTCATTTTTGGATTAGGCACCAAAGGGTCAGGGCCTCTATCAGGTTTTTATTGTCTGCGTCACTATTGGGAAATTTCCCCTCACTTCCTTCCCTCCAACTCAGACACAGGCAAAAATTAAATCATGTTTTTAGTGAAGGAAGGCCATAGAGTTTATGACCGTGTGTTTGTTGCAGTCTGTGTATGTCTGTTCTGGTGGCAGCTGCTCCATCATAGCCTCAAAAGGTACAATCAGGACAGGAAGTGGGGGAAAACCTCCTCATCAAAGTGATAGATAGGAATTAATACCTGACAGTGATTTTAAGAATTTCCTACTCTATCGAAAATGAAAAACAAATTGACTGAAGTTAGGCTTTAAAGAGCTGAACCAAGCATGTGTAAATGTATTAAGGGAACTCTCCTTAGCCTGTTCCCTAAAGATGGGCAAAGACATCAGAACATGGTCATAAATGCCGGTAAGAACAAGGGTCTTACTGCATATACACGACTGCTTGGCTGGGTAGGGGAGGAACATGCTGACACTTTTGCAGCACCTTGGAGGAAACAATACTTGCACAAGTTTTACAAACCTGCCCCAAGAAATGTTGGCGGGGATTCATCTCATGCCTTCGTGTACTTGAAGGTAGGGCCTATTCAGTTTGAGAATTTGTTTAAGATGGTCCCCTGAGCCAGAGCCAGAAATAGTGTTTCTTCTACCTAATGGCTCCCAGCTATCTACGGCTGGTAAAGGCACTAAAACAGAGCCAACATCGGAAACTTAATTTCCTTTACCTGGTTCCCCGTGTACTACAAGGAACAGCCGTGATCAGCAGCCAATAGGAATTATTGTGGGAGCAAGGCTTTTTGTGGGCACTGTGGCATGAAAACATTACAAGTGGTGTCTCAAGTGGAACTAATCAAAGAAAAGTGTCAGTGACTTAAGACAGCTCTGGCTTCACTATAACATGAAATTGTATCTGTTGTCTGTATAGGTACAGAATTTGTGATCTGCATTAAAATGTACTGGGGCCCATTCACACTTACACGTTGCTGTATTGTGGTGTATTGAAATATCACAATACAGTACATAAGGTAATAAAATAGTAGAAGGCAATGCACCTTCACTGCAGTGTACCACATGTTGTGTGGGGTGGTATGCTGCATTTGAAAAAATGGGTTATGTTCAGATTTGGTTGCTTTGAAAAACCATTAAAAAAATGAATGGCCGGCTTTAGCACAATATCTGGAAACAAACTGCAATACAGTACAAAAGTGTCAATGGGCCCAGAGGCTGGAGTCACAGTGGTTACATTTACATTTGTTACAAAACTAAGGGCCAATTTAAAACATAGACTGGATAACACTATCTAAAATTCACACTGGCCTGTATTTTATGTTGCATTTACAAAACGCAGGCCACAGTGTGTAGCCTGCGGTGTCCCACAGAGTTCGCTTTTAATTATTGTTGCAAAGACAACTCTGTTATTGGAGGAGTGGCTGGCCACATGACTTTGGCAGCTCATATGACAATTCCCCCCCTCCTTTTTATCCATTTCTTTGCTCCGCATGGTTCACAGTCCCGAAGCAAATGGAACATAAGGCACATATGTAAAGCACAATGTTGCAATACAGCAAACATTGAGTGTTAACCATTCAAGCAAACAAGGGATCAGCTGTTATGGGCAAACAGTTTTATAAAATGGGGGGTAATTATATTTATGAACTAAAACACATCTGAAATTGATAGACTTAGATTCTTTTAATACTGAATAGGCTGTAAAATCATGCTGATGAAGAGATTAAAGTTTTTCCCATAAAGGTTATTATATTCTTGCAAAAACTGTTGACCATTTTAACCTGACTCTCTATGCAAAGCTGGCCTTTCCCAGCCCCAAGTCATTCTGTATTCTACATATGTTTTTATGGAGAATTAAGTTTGACATGAAGCTGAATAAGATGCATCATGAAGGGTTTTCACATAAAAATCTTACAGTCAACGTATAAAAATAGAGGTCATCCATCTCTTCTTGACAAGGTCTGGGGATTGTGGACCTCTTCCTACGCAATAGTAGAATCTTCTTTGTAATGTCTTTAATATGACCTGTTTCATAGGCCCTTGTTGGGTTATTTTACTCTCTTTTATACTTGCTCCTGCATACATGTTCATTCCATGCTATATATTCCACGATTAGAAATTTTATACTGAAGTCTATGGGCTTGAAAACATATTTTACATCTCTTACTTTGGTACCATATGACCGCTACACCTTGGTACATGTGTCTGCTCCCCCTCCCTTAATTTAAATTTTCGTTTTGTTGCTCTCATTTCCTAATTGGTGTTATTTCTGCAAAATTCAATAAAAATTACCCTAAAAAAATCTTAAATTCAGGGTCCTCCAGAACTGAAGGATTTCGGAAAGGTTCTTTTCGCCTTCCACAGTTCCTTCTCTGGAATGCAATAGGAGTTTAATCCCCTGCCCAGGTCAGCGTCAGAAAGATCTAACTCCACCTGAAGCACAGGTATCACAGAGTGAGCTTGGCTTCTCCATCAAGATGCCATTATCATTGTCCCAAAGAGCTACTGTCATTTAACTGTTAAGGAAAAAGTAACTGTGCCTCCTAATAGACCACCCCCTCAATAGAGTATACTCACCCATCTACCCTTCATCAGAGCCTTCGCTCTGACAGAATGGGGTATTCTTATATGGATGATTAAGCCTAAGCCTAATGCAATTTAGTTAGCTGTGTTAATATCGACAAAATATGAACAATTGTTGGGACTGGAGGACAGATGGACAGAGATGATTCAAAAGAGAACCATGGCCCAACCTTTTTTGCCCATAGTTCTCTTTAGGGTCACAGGAGGACGCTTACTATGTCCTCCTGTGACCCAAACTCAGCATAAAGCGGGACATTTCCTGTTATATGCTGACACCGCACCGGCCGGGAAAAGTGCAGCCAATTTTGTCGGGAACCCCCCAACCACCTGATTGGCAGCTGGCTCTGTGTCTAGAGAGCTGTGCCTGCCCTCTCCCCTTCAATGAGCACTGGAGGAACAGAGGGGAGGGGGAATCCCTGTGGTAAGAGGTGACTGACATTCTGCAGGGAGAAGATCAGGAAATGAGAGATCAGCTGTATGTGATCGCTCAGTTCTCGATCTATAGAGCCAACGTATGATAGCTTCAGTATCACACGCCGGCTCTAATTGTGGGGAGGAGTGTATTTCACTCTCACACTAGTTCTTCTTTAACTCCATCCTTCTCCTCCTAAAATGGAGAGATATGTTTTGAGTCGAGTTTTAGAGCTCTATCAGTAATCCCCGTCCTGATACAATCACACGAGCTACAATGGCTATTGTTACAACACTGATCCACATAGTTTAATATAGCCCCTTCAGTAAGTTCTCTATTTTTTTCTGGCTGAATTTGCTGCTGTTGTTAAGACAGGGGCCCACTTTACAGCAAAAGGAGTACAGAGATGGTTACAATGTGCCATAGGAACATTCAATTAAGCACAAGCAGCAGTGACTCAGAATGTTAGTTAGGGAATGTGTGATAATACTAAGCATATATACCTTAGCCAGTTGGTATATATTGTCACCTGAGAAAATATCTGAGTCAGCCGTGTCGGCTTAATTCTAGCTACATGGAATTAATGTATTTATTGGAAAAACAAAAGGTGATTATATAAGCAGGGAGATGACTATTATGAAGGTTGCAAGCAAGGGCCGCTATTGCATGCTATGATTACTGAAAGATATGACATACGTACAATCTTGGCGGAACCTGATGCAACTTGTGTCAAGCACATCCTGACTTTTGCATAAACAGAACCAGGTAAAACTAATTTCATTAACGTACAAATGAATGAAATGAGTTAAAGAAAACAAGACATATTGCTACCACGCCATGCAATCACACAGCATTGTACAATCATACAAGGGTCCCTGGTAAAGCCTGGATTTATATTTTAACTAAGAATTCCATTAAATTTCAACTTAGTTGAGGATGAAACCCTCTGAATAAAGCCAAGGTGCTGATGGCAAATTTAATTTAGCTTTGGATGCCTGCATAGAAAAAGTACAACAGAACCTATCAATGATAATTGTCTTTCACATATGGGACTCCAACACTTAAAAAAATAAAGATAGCAACTGCAAACAGGCCATAAACCCTAGAGGGAAACATGCATCTTTCTAGTTCACAAACACTGGCCACATATCTCTGTCAGTGCACCGATACATGTTTTATCATGTGTTTATAAAAGAGAATGTCATGCTCACAGGTTTCTTACATTGGTTGAGATATTTGTATATTGTGGGGACTGTCAGGGGGTCCTGCCATATAATTTGTATAGGTGCCCAGCAAAGTTACACCCATGATGTAATTAGTAATACATGCAGACATGGTATCAGAGGTTCTCCTTTAAGGCTTCTAGAACATTTTAGGAATTGTACTCACTTGGTCCTGTGTCATACAGTCTCTACGATTAAGACCCAGCAGGGGGCGAAATGCCCTCTTCTTAAGTTTGCAGTTTTAGAATTATTTAAAGGAAAAAAAAAAAGAGGATTATGCAGCTCTACAGGTAAGACAAGAAAGGAAAGCTAAATGCTTACTGTTACTATCTTTGGTAATGGCGTAATTTCTATTTTTCATAACACCCCTATTCACTTCACTTGCATTTCACTACAGACATCTGTCCTCTATGACAACAACAGCCATGAAGAGACACTGGAAATGACAGAGGAGAGGATCAGTGATAGGACAGATCAAAGTGCTGAAAGTCACCTTTAGCTTTTTACTCAGGAGTCCCATCCATCCAGTTTTGGAATTCTCATTTAAATGTCTGTCACAACTGATCACCATCAGTAAAATTACCAAACTTCAGGAAAATATCCGATTATTTTGATTTTTTGGGTAAACTGTGCATTGCTGTGTCTTGCAGATACATTATTTTCACTTGTTATTTTTACACTGAATACATTAAATGTGTTATGGTGAGTGGGATGATATGTGTGTATGTGATCTGCTTTACTGTAAAGATTGAAGTATACTTCCTTACCTTCTCTTCCGAGTCTCCAGGCTGACATGTGATCACTCCATCTTTTGAGCCCCCCGCAAATGTTGATTTACAGTTTTTTAGCCACTGATAAGAAATAAATATTTGACATAATTATATGTGCTCTATGGAATACATAGGTAAACATTGCATTTTTATGTATGGAGTTGTCCAAACATAAACCTATCAACACTCTGCAAATAAATGGTTAACTAAAATGAACCAAATATCTGATCTATTTTGTTAGCTCATACACTTTACATGGGTGTACTTCATGAACATGCATATCCATGAATTCCTCCTTACATCTTTCATGCTGTCCTGATGCAATAGGAGCAACAATGACTGGTTGGGAAAATTCAATCAAACTGACAATCTCTTGTGGAGAATGACTGTGTGAGCTGTGGTCTTAAAGAAGAACTCCGGGCATAAATATTCTTAACCCTTACAGTGGGGCTACCCCCTGACACTGCAAGGGTTAAGTGCTTGTTTTCCTCTAGGGACAAAAATAAAAAAGTTATATTCACCTGAACCTCGGAGCCAGCTGGCTGCTGCTCCAGCCCCTGCAGCCTCTGTCCGCTCCAGCGAAGGAATGTCTCTTGGTGTCCTCACATCCTATACACTGTCCAGAACGTGATGACTCGCAGGACCTATGACTGCTGGAGCGGAGGTGGAGAGAGGCTGTAGGGACCGGTCTAATTACAGTTCACCTCTATGAAACACTTTTCTCCTATGTTATGGCGAAGGGGAGGTGTTCTGTAGTCGCAATAACACAGGGTAAGAATGCTTCTCATACACAGATACAGTACAGTGAGCGAGTGTTGTTAGCCTAGGAGAGGAAGCTTATTATTGGCAGGATCACCTGGTGAAAATAAGCCAGAAATAAGAAAACTAATGCAGCCACAACATTTAAGGACTGGTAAGCTGTATTATAGTACATTTCTGAGCGAACTGAACCTCAGATACTTACAGAGACTGTGGCTTCCTTCCTGTTGTTGTATGTGTCCAGGTATTCCTGCAGTTCCAGCACACTGAACTTTAGCTTTTCTAAAAGTCCACAGGATAACAGCTGTAAGTAAAATGCATCTTTATTAGTTGTGCATTTAAACACCCCGACTGACTGTATTTACTAGCCGCACAGCCCATCCAATATGTCATCCTGGTAATTACTATTCCATAACATACTGAAACCAAAATGTTTCTATAAGCCAGACACCAGACAAGCAGTGTCATACTGTGTTGTGTGATTTAACCGGGTCTGTCCCTACCTTATTCGTTGCCTGAGGTGGCCAAGAGAAGGGGGAACACTGGCCGGCCGAGCTGCCAGCTGGGTGGGAGGTGCCGGCCGACTGAGTTGATAGCCTGTTAGGAGGTGCCGGCCGACTGAGCTGATAGCCTGTTAGAAGGTGCCGGCCGACTGAGCTGATAGCCTGTTAGAAGGATAATTATGAGGACCCCCCTGGATTTAACTAGTGCTATTTATACATGTGTATGTAACACATGCATAACTGACTAACCACTTTTTAGATATATTTCTGAAACAAATACTTTCCTCAGCAATTACTTTATTCCCATTGCCTAAAAAAAAAATCATGATACAGTTCTCAACATATTTAGTGCATTGCTGATCATTACGTGTTGACTGGAAATCAGTCACCATTCAAGAGCAGAGAAAATAATCTATAAATAAAAAAGGATTGTTCTCAGATAAAGATTTGTGATCCATGAGAATCGAAGCTCCCAAAGGGGGAGTACAGTTTTATGGGATGAATCTGATGTACTCTGTATGACTAGGATACCCAGGGTGCGGGAGAGATTACTATTTCAGGTGCCATGTTTCTTCATATGACCAGTCTGAGGTTCTATACCGCATATGACTCAGTGTGTGGGCAGTAATCTGACTATACTGTAAGCTGAATAACACAACTTAACATTGATCACAACCAAGATCATCACATTTCTGGGCAGACCAGTCAGCAGCAACACTTGTTGAACTGCTCCCCAACTTCTGGTCCTGATGTCTATCCAGAAGCATCCAGGTATGGTCAGGACAGGAAGACAAAGCCAGCAATAAAAACATTCTCAGAAGTTCAAACCCTTCCCCACCATACTAAGAATGTGTTTTGTTTCTGGCTGTGTTTCTCTTGAAGAGATGTAGCAAAAATTGTCACCAGCACACCATTACTTCTACAAGCATTACTTCTTGCAGTAATCTCTTGGTGTGCTGGTGACAATTTTTGCTACTTCCTTATTGTTCACGGTGCCGTCCGTGGTCGCTAAAAGCACCCACCTGCTCAGCAGGTTTATTATCATTCCGGTCAGGAGTGCAGCTGGTTTCCTACTACCTGTCGAAGAGATTTTCCATTGCATCCTGGCAAAAAAGAGAGCAGACATTTCCCCAATGTGGAAACAAAGGCGATAGTTGCACAACTTGCTACATTGTGCCAGGCACTGCACCTGTCACACCCAATAGCTGCATGGCTATATACAATATTATAATTAAAGTTAGGGATGCACCGATACTGATACTAGTATCGGTGCCGATACCAAGTATTTGGGCAAGTACTCGTATTTGCACAAATGCTCCGATACCTTCCCCGATACTGGAACTTCCAGTCAGAGGAAGATTTCCTCTGACCGGCAGTGCACAGGGGAACTTGGAGCCGGCTTCCTGGGCAATCAGGAAGCCGGGTGGCGAGTAATTACCTGTCTCCCTGAAGGCGGCCCTATGCTGCTTGGCTGGGAAGCCAGCTTTCCAGCCAATCAGCATGGATCGGCTTCCCGGCCAACCAGGAAGCTGGGAGGCCGGTCATCACTCGCCAACTGGCTTCCTAATAGACCGGGAAGCCAGCTCGGTGCCGATTGGCTGGAAAGTGGGTTTCCCGGCCAAACAACATGTAATTCCCTGCCGCCCGGCTTCCTGATTGCCCGGGAAGCCAGCTCCATGCCAGCGGAAGCATCGGTATCGGTACTCGGCGAGTACTGAAAGCAAAATGTCGGTACTCGATACCGAAAAAACTGTATCGGTGCATCCCTAATTAAAGTGATACTTATTAAGGTCCATTAAGAAAATGAGACTGATATAAAGAAAGACAAATTTGGTACCATTATGGTAATACATCTCTAAAAATGGCCACCTGTTTATTAGATTTTATGTAGTTTGGCTGCTTCTAGGCACCATGTGCAGCTCTTTTGGTTCCCTGAATTCTGATTGTTATCATGTTCACGACCATACTTACTGTTTCTGCATCTACAAACAGTGTTGGGCATTCAGAGCACAGTGTCAGTAGCTGCGATGTGCTCACAAACTTTGACCCAATGCCACGAAGACTGTCTCCTAGGTAACAAGCTGCATCACATGTCAGGAAGCAGAACCTCTTCTGTATACTCTGCAAAGTACAACAAGCTCCAGTTAGCCTATGATAATAGCTCAGAACTAACCAATGGCAGCCAGATATCAACTCTAATGGCTTATTTACACATGTGATTAGGGCCAGATAGCGGATTTCTGTGGCAATAATTTGATTCCTTTATTTGGGATAACAGTAATATGCAAACAGATGCAGCTGGGAAGCCTGAACAAAGCAACAGGCGTCTCATGTCTTGGCACATATCCAGCGGTTAGGAACAGATATAGAACCCTGGATGCAATCTGCGTACAGAATCGGTCATCTGTCCCTAACCACAAGTAACCGCTGGAATGTGCAGATTCAGGGGAACAACGGTGGACAGCCACGGCTGCTGTCAGCACGTCATTGCTTTGTGCAGGCTTCTCAGCTGCAGCTGTTCTCATACACCTGTGATCCCAGCCACAGGAATCTAGAAATCTTTGCAGCAGACATCCCCTGTCTTACCTCACCACGAAAAATGTAATTGAAAAACAAATCTATACCACACTTTACAGCACTGTTGTATCTAATATGTTAGACGTACACATTTTCAGTAATTTTATGTACATGGAATCTCCACTGCATTAAAAATGCACCCTCCTAGGATGCAACTAGAGAGGGTAGTGCTGCTGAGCCTTTACAATCATTTGTCTGTTTGATCGTCTCTGGTTTGAACCTCTAATACAGCGTTTCTCAACCTTATTTCAGTCACAGTACCCTTTACAAATATTCAAAATATTAAGGCATCCTAGTCTAAAATGTAAAAAAATAAATAAAGTGTGGCCCCTCCAAAATACATACCAGACCCATATCCAAGATAGGGGTCAGGCATGGATTTTAGTGGGAACCCACAAAAAAGTGGGGCTCCCCTCTACACCTCAGAGGACCCCCTCCTTGCCATCCTCCATTTCCTTTTTCACATCAGGATCCCCTTTCACATCATGATCCCCCCCACCATCAAATAAAACCTCTGTCCTGACATCAGGAGCACCTTATTCACATTAGAGTCCCCCCTTTTACATTAGGAGCCCCCTGCACATTAGATTTCTCAGTTCCCTCTACACATCCTACCATCACACCAGGATCCGTGGCTGTGGCACTATAGCAGAGGAGGCGGATAAGGCCTGGAAGGAGGTGAACTGCTATCCTCTTCTGAATAGATCATTTCAACACAACCCTGAGGAAGCCAGAAGGCACCCCAGGTTGAGAAAGGCTGCTCAACGAAGCTTATAAGAACTGAAAAGGGTGAAATGTTACCCAATTTTATTTTATAAAAAGGGCACCTCAATTCCTAAATAGGACAGAAAAAGGTTTTTATATTACATATAAAGGGATCCATTTTAATTTTTACATCTGTGTCTCTTGCCTCTGTGGGTACTGCAATCCAGAAGTGATATGGTGCTTTCATGGAGGAAAATTAATACAGAAACACATTACCGGCTACACGAAACAATCAACAAAATATTTAAAAGGAAATTTCTAGGAAAAGGGACAGGCTAAAACAATGCAAGGAAGTGTTTGCTTTTCCCATTTACGAGACTACAAAATTTCCCTAGAAACAATTGTGAATCATGCAGTTATTTCAAATGCCTTAAATTCATTTAGCATTGCATTGCATTGTATTAAGCTCAGCACTGACAGAGTTGGCACAAACATGTAGGTTTATCAAACTGCTACATGTAAAACACTTTGGGCACAGACTTCCTGAAATGAAACATTTGATAGCAAGTACATGACATACAGTATATGTGGAACACACATTTTTTATTAGTTACTACACTCCCTGGACACAAAAAGTCACCACCTCAATTTAGCAAACAGATCGGAGCCTTACATTGGATAATTAAGTTTAGCAACATTATGCCCCCGAAAAATTAGCTCAGCTGCCTACCTGAATATACTGAATGATCAGGTTTTTCTATCAATTGATTTTTTCTTCCGATGGCACGTTGGGCATATTCCAGGATGATAATGCCAGGATTCATCGGGCTCACATTGTGAAAGAGTGGTTCAGGGAGCATGAGACATCATTGTCACACATGGATTGGCCACCACAGAGTCCAGACCTTAACCCCATTGAGAATCTTTGTCATGTGCTTGAGAAGACTTTACACAGTGGTCTGACTCTCCCATCATCACTACCAGATCTTGGTGAAAAAGTAATGTAACTCTGGACAGAAATTAATCTTGTGATATCAAAATGATGCCACGGCGAATGAGTGCCGCAATCAAAGTTAAAGGCGGTTCAACAAAATATTAGCGTGTGTGACTTTTATTGGCCAGGCAGTATTTATAGCAGAGCATACTTTCCACCTCTGCCAAAACAGGGTGGTGTACTTTGTTTTGTAGCCTTATACTCCCCGTGATGTTGCACTGACACCAGAAGGTAAAAACTGAATAACAAATATGTTTTGCACTGCTTAGTTTTAGTAATCTATAAATACTTTGGAACTGAGTCAGCCACTAGGTCAAAGATTCCTCAGAGTTGTATCGGTTCCCTCAAGCAAATAAAATATTCTCAGCAAATGACCAGTTTCAGTGAAACTACAAATATGGAACTTTTACAATCAGCTGCAAGTTTCTTCTTAGGGCTCAGTTTTTATTCTCATGAAAAGAGTGTAGATCATTTATTGACTGCCATTCTATGTACTGTAGATGCCAAAACTCCTGTCACTGTGCCCTGCTGGCACAAAAGAGTAAAAAGACAAGAGAGGATTCTGATCAAATCTGTCACACGGGAAGGCAGTGCTATGCAGAAGCAGTGAGACAGATTCCAGACAAATCGATTTAATTAGGCAGCTTTATTCATAAATTCCTCCCACAGCTGCTCTAAAGTAGAACTGTGACAGAATACCATTTGACCGTGACAGTTTCTTAATTGTGCGTTTGTTTTAGGGGAAAATCTGTCTAATCTACGGTGTTAAATCTGCCACAGAACTTTGCAAATCTATTTAATTTTGCTACCAAAGTTTACAGGTACGGATGTAGCAAAAACACAGAGAAACTGTAGTATAGGCTTTCTGCTAACGGACAGGCAGTCTGATCTGCATCTAAGTTTGTAACTTATTTACTCCCAAGGAGTTCTATACAGTGCAGCTCAAACTGAATGAACGTGTTTCCATCGGCTGCTAGGTGGATAGGCCTTTTATGTGTAGCTAGTAGTAGTCACATGTAGCTTGACTTGTTCTGTAATGCAGAAGACCTTTGGTAACATCTCTAGACCACTTCCTTAGGGCCTATCTATACCATAGTGTTGCACTAAATGCACAGGAATCCATGCATTTAGTGTAAGCTATAGCACAGTGTATTGTTTCGCACACTAGTCGTGCTGCATTGCCATTGCCTCCAGTCAGATATGTGTTGCAGTGCAGTGCTGTGCTAAAAAGTAACGCATGCACTAATTTTTCAACACACACATTGTTGCGGTATCACACAGTGCACTGATACGCATGCATGGACAGTTGCCAGGAGGTGATAAGGGGTGCCAATCAGAATGAACGGCAACACAACACACAAGTGCACCTAGAGTGGGGTACTGTGTGATGGTGAGCGCTAAACACACAGATCCTATGGGTGTGAACAGGCCCTTTGTGCTTGAGTGCTTCTATTTGTAGTTAGTTGTGTGTGTTTGTGTGTGTAGTTTATGTGTATACTGTTACATGCCTGGCAAAGTAGTAATTAATGCCCATTATAGCACCCAAACTTGCTGCAACCAAAACTTTTTCAGAACCATCATCCTGCTTTTATGTTACACTACTATACTATAATTTATAAAAGACAAATTAGAACAATTTTTTCTAGTGGAGGCTAGATAATGAATGTTCACCTCTGAGTGGCTGCTATGGACAATACCACAATGCCTCCTACGTTCCATCCTAATACAGAAGGCCAACAAGCTTTGTATATAGAAAACATACATTTCCAAGCACACTCCTAATGCACCTCATTCACAAGTCAGAACACACCTTAAACAAGGAGGAGAAAACATGAAATGTGTAAACAGCACAGGACCCATCAGAATCTGACATGAGTTGATTGAGATGGCTTCTCCATGCTTCCTCTGCATCATCGCATGCTGTTGGCTGAAATGCAGCCAGGATGGCTGAGAAGAAGGGTGATGGAGGAGGAGGTGTTATAGTGTCCCCATCTCCAAAGCTGTCAGATAAAAAATGTACACATGGACAAATTAGAAAATACACTTTAAGACATCGGTTTAACCAGAGCTGTCAATTTAAAAAGACAACAAAGACTCTGCAAAGTACCTCTAATTTTCACCCTGGTAATGATTCTGCCCCCTAGGACTTTTGACTCTGCAACACCCTATTAATTCTGTTAGCTTGGTGACATCCAGTTTCGGAATATGCAAATATTCTAGGATTTTTAAAACGCCACCCAAGAATGGTCCCTGCTATAACCCCTTCAATGCTAGTTATTCGGCTGTCACTTCACAGTCCTGATTTCCTGAGATAATGCAGCTATTGTCATGAAGGCAGTAAGAGTAAATTTGTCAAAAACATTTAAAAGTCCTTCCTAAAGAGCAGACACCACAAAAAGCTTGTCCTACCAGAATGGCAGAAGTAACGTTTTAAGTTGATTTTGTAACTGGGACTTTACTTACCTGCCACCTTGACTCGCTAATTGCCTGCCACCTGTCCAACTACTGCCACTCTCTTGTCCAACTATAGCACACTGATAAGAAGTATGAGGATGGCAGCTGGTGGGATTAGCCTGGGTTCACACCTAGGCGACAGCGTTTTTGTGCGTTTCTACAAACGTTTTTGTTGCACATGTTTGTGCACTTTTTGCACAGTTTTATTGTGAGCAGATTGTAGCTCATTGATGTAAATGAGCATACACGCGCACAAAACATAGCAAACGCACATTTTCAAGTGTTTCCTATTAAGTCTATGGGGCCAAGATGAGCTGTAATTAATGTACTTTTTTCAGCGACAGGCGTTTTGCTTGTTGCGGCAAAACGCTCAGATATGACAGGGCCATAGAAATGAATGTGATTTTTTGGGGCATATTTTTTGAGCGTTCTTTAGGGCAGAACAAGTGCTACCAAACTCTTAGTGTGAACCAGGCCAGAAGGCAGACTCCAGTAACAAAGTTAAAGTTAAAGCAGAACTTCAGTGTGCATCTATTTATATTTTTCCCTTGACTTCCCATGCCAATGTCTGAAAGAGATCTTGGAAAAACACTTCTTGTCCTGGTGATACATCCCCTGCCTAGTGCCGGGGTTCCGTTCACCAGCCCCAACCTCACTGCAGGGCTCAGTATCAGTGCAAGGATCAGTGCTGAGAGAAGAACAATCTGACAAAACTGGAAGTGTATAGGATGAAGAGAATTCTCTGAACAGCAAAATTTATGAAGGAAGTGAAGATCAGATGCTATAAGATTTTACTTTATAGCAATCACAGCTAAATGAACGGTTTCCTTGTTGAGTGGAACCATTTTAAATAAAGGTGATCACACACAGGCTGAACATTGGGCAGGTTAGGCCTAATCCTAATCACAATTTCCCATGAAGAAGAACCTAAATATGTAACCTACCCTGTCAGTGCATACTGCTCCACGATTCGGTCATCCTTCTCCTCCTCAGCCATTTCTAGGTTAAAGCTGTCATTACATTCAAACACAACCGGCATTTCACTCATTGACCCCGACAGGTCATCTTCTTGTACGGTTGCATCATCTTCATCAAGAACAGCATCAGCCTGTAAGATAAGGAAGTGGGAAAATAATATAGTAGAATCCTTTTGGAGATCTAGATCAAGCAACTAGAAATGGGTATTTCTAATCACTTGATACAGTTCATCAACACAGAGCACATAAGGCCAAAAGTGTCTAAAGGAGTAACCATGCGGATGCATGACCATTTCCAGAGCTACATTGAGTCTCTTTCAATGCCAATTTAGCCAGCATTAAGGGTTCATTTTCCCCAAAACTGAATGTAAAGCTTTTTGCATTAGGGAGACAAGAGAACACCAGAGTCATGTTGTAGAAGAATTTAGTTTCCACGGTGATCAGGAACTATGGAGGAAAGCCATCACTTCTGAAGCTCTAAAATATATATACACCTAGTGGAAGACTCAGCCAATATCTTAAATAGCACTTTTGGGTGGATTGATCCTTTCATATAGTTTTAGGTGGCTGCTCTGTGAATGTGTTTTCCTATCTTTTGCCGCTACTGAATTTTTTGCTCCTGCACTTTTATAACATTTCTTTATACCTAAAGGATACCTAAGCTAAAAAAATAGCTATTTCAGTAAACATTTCAGCATTTAATAAAGAAAGATTCTATAACTATAACTCATTAAAGGAGAATTATGGGGAGAGTGAAATACACTCATCCCTATAACTAAGGCCGACGTGTGATACTAAAGCTGTCACACGGCCGCTCTATAGATCGAGAAGCGAGTGATCACTTACTGCCGATTACTCAGTTCCCGATCATCTCCCTGCAGAGAACAGTGACCGTCAGTCACCATTCCCCGCAGGGATTTCTCCCCTCCCCTCTCCGTTTCTCCAACGGTGACTGGAGGAACGGACGGGGGAGGGGGCGGGCAAAGCTAGCTCTGAAGAGGCACAGCCAGCTGTCAATCAGGTAGCAGGGTGGATCCTGACAAAATTGTCGGGATCCGTCCTGGCTGCAGTGCGGCTCCGCACTGTCAGCATATACAGCAGGCAATGGCTGAGTTTTGGGTCACAGGAGGACATTAGTATATGTCCACCTGCGGCCCTAAAAAGAACTAGGGCAATAAAGTTGGGCCATAGTTCTCTTTTAATAAACAGGAGATGTCTAAATAAACATGGTGGCTTCCTAAAAAAAAGTACCAGTCACACCAATTATTTGTATTGCCCCAGCATCAATCATATTTTAGTGGTTACTTTTCTAGGTATGTTTGAGAGTGATTCCTGGCTGTGAAATAGTAATGACATTTGTTGGTATTGATATGTGATACATGTAGCTAACTGCGAGAATGAAAAGCAAAGGAAGATTCTGATTGGTTGCTAAGGCTGATGAAAGCAGGCCCCCAAAAAAACAAAAACTAAAAAACCCCATAAAAATCAATCAGAAATGGGGGGGGGAGGAGTTAAGAGCATATTGCACTTTGGGAGAGCCAGGTCATTCCCTCTTGAGTCTCAGGGTCAGGAAATAGAGCAAATTGTTTCCAGTAGACACAAACAGATTGTAAATCTTTGTAATCTCTGCCTGTTATGACAAATGTTTGGCTGACACAGATCAGCCCCTTTCCGCAGCATGTCATTTGCTACAAAGCTATAATTTTACAGTCTGATCATGGGGGCAGGAGAAAATTCTTCTTCCTGACTGCAGATGACTGATTACATCATCTCAGCTTAGTCAGAATCACCTGTATGGTGCTGTAAGGACTGCTTTTATAATAAAAGATAGAGCCCAAGCCAACAGGCTCATACTGAAATCTTGCAGCACAGACATCCCACCACCAATAGAATAAACTGTTTAAAGTAAATATTAGACTAATAACTCAAATGTGTACTTCCTGAAAATACACTATAGCGTCTATAGCTTTTTAGATTGTAAGCCCTCAGGGGCAGGGCCCTCCTTACCATCCTGTCTTGAATTGTATTGTAATGTCTTCATTATATTGTAAAGCGCTGCGCAAACTGTTGGCGCCATATAAATACTATGTAATAATAATAATAGCCTGAAATCTGCCCCTTACCGAGGATACATTAATAGACGTTTTCCCTTTGACAGCTACCAACCAACACTTTGCACGGCTTCTAGCTATAAAGTTCAGCTGTCACTGACAACTACTCTCCCCCCCCACCCCAAAGATTAGGAACCAATCAGTGTGATTCCAGACCATTTGGTAGCTATGTCACTTATGACAAAGTAATCACATGCAAGGGAACGGTTTCATTCGGAAAAAAAATGTCTTCATCTGGCAGAGGCCACAGCAGCCTGTAGATGGCAGTGTGCTTCTGTTTAATACTGTAACTGTTTAATATAATTACAGGAATAAAAAAAACTGCAAAACTAAATCCCAATATATATCTTTAAAAAAAGTTATGCAAGTGGTTACATCGGTGAGACATTAAGTCAAGACAAGAATGGCCAAGCTGCTATATTTGGGCAGGGCATCTATTCTATACATTTTCTGCATAATTGCAACTAAGTAAAGCAACTGAGAGAAGGGTACCAGAAAAAAGACTGCGCTTCCGAAGTCACTGGGTAGAGCTTGCTGACTCCTGAGGTAAAACAGCCACGGCTGTATCATGCTGAACCAGGGGAATAAATAATTCACTGACAGAAGAACTGGGAGCATGCATGCCCATAAGTGCACGGGAAGATAGATAGCTGAACTGCAATCATTTGGAATTTGGTAACAAAGCTGTCCACAAGCTTGAATGCCATTGGTTGCCCTTCCTTAACTACATAGGTACCCTTTATCATGAGATACATTCTAAGACTGTTCATCCAAGCAAAACACATCTGTATGAAAGCACTGTATAAAAACAGAGACCGTCTTGTGTGACTGCAGTAAAGTGCGGTCACAGTTCCATGTATGAAGGCCTCCTTGTACTGATGCTAACATTTTGTTTCTGTTGCAATGCGCTAAGTACGGAATATGCTGCAGTTTGTTTAGAGCTCACATACAGGAAAGAAAACATTGATCAACTTTCACCAACCTTTGATAATGAAAGAATCGAGTCTCCAATGCACCGATCTTTTCAAACAGCAACATAGAGCAGTTTTTGTGCGAATCTAGCAAAATACTGTGGTCGGAACGGAATATTCTGTCAGCGAGCCAGAACGGCGTGCATTGATTGAAATGTGCTTGGCGCACAATAGGCTCCCACACAGAAAGAAAATCACGTAGAGGACATGCAGCCCACATCATACAAGGCATTTTGTGCCTAGTGCCTACTATATATTGTGCAATTCATAGTCCAACATGCAAACACATCAACATTAATAGAATTTCAGTAGTACTGCAGTTAAATCGGTGACAGAAGTGAGAGGTTAGAAGGATTTAGACATTAAAATAAGCCAGAGACAAACATGGAATTACAGCAACATGTGTCCATATTTCACATGTAATATGCATAAAAAATAAAATGATGATTGCTGATTGGATACTATAGGTTGCTCTCCAGCTTCTTTTACATAAGACTCTACAGGTTTTCTGCACTACACAGTGCAAATACTGCAAGCGGATGCAGGACTGAATAATTATTTCTGATTAACATTTCAGGGAATATTTTCCATTCATTAATGTCAATCATTTTTCTGCTACTACCAGCTTATCTTATGCAAATCACAATTGCAGTCATCAGTGATATCACAGATGATCTATGCCAAATTTTAAGAATCCGGCCTACACTCTACATTTAGTGTGGTGGGGTTGGGGGAGGGGTATTATAAAACTTGCACAAGTCAAACAAGGGGCAATTTATGCGCCAAAATGTCTGCAACATTACAGAACAAGTCCAGTTGAGTGTGACTAACTACTATTAGTTATATCTGTGGCTAAAAGTTCAAAAGTCCATTTATTGTGCAAGCTTTCAATGAACTGGGCTACTCATGGCAACCAGATCATTCTCAATGTGCAGGTTCAGGGATGAAATGGAGAATGTAGTTGCCATGGGCAACCCAGACATTTTTTGTGACACTGAGCAAGTAACTCCCAATGAGTGCAAATGGTTGTACTGGTAGGACCCAGTGATCAAGTGAGCTGTAATTTTCTGTCCTAAAGTCTATTCATCCCTACATTAACCATTACTCCTTTATGGAATGTAACGGTAAATAATGACTATACTTGGATGATGGGAGCTCATTCAAATCTCATTGCTCAGTGGCAAAGTATCAGATTCTCCCACATATGGCAGTCTGTACAGGCCTAAGGCTAGAGATGCATATATTTTTCTTACGCATAATATTTACAAAAATGATAAAATAAGTGAGCTTTATACTATATAACATAAATGATGCAAGGGCTTTTAAGTAGAACTCTAATTCTAAAAACATAAGGTTTTGATCCAACAGATGTTGGAAGTATTTTAAAAATTGGTCCATACCTGGAGCTCAACAGACACCCATATAGGGGTCTTCCGCTTTATGAAGTTAAGCTTGAAGCTTCGTCTACAATATTAATTTGGCAGTATAAGATACATGTGAAATACAGGCAACATACATCTATGCCAAGGGTCTACCATTAGCTCAGACCTAGAGGATAGTGGAATCATCATTAAACCCTTTGTCGCTGAAAGTGGACAGCGCAATGTCCTGGACCCCTCTTGCCACAGAGAGCTTAACAGTAATCACCCAGTCTATATGTTAGTCTCCTGCTAGGCTTTCATTGGGGTTCTGGGTAAATCAGCTGAGAAAAGCATTCATTGCAAAGATTTGATTTCTACCAAAACTCCATCACCTTAGATTCCTCAGATAAGAGTGGATTAGTGATTTCAGGCAAAGATGCATCAAAACTAGAGGTTCTTGTGTTAAGGGAATGGGGGTCAGCAGAGGTTGTGTCGCATGATGTGGAGGGAGACTCCATGTGATTTGTCTCTTCAGAAGGAGAAAGGCTTATGATCTACAACAGAAAAGACACACAACATAGCACACACGTTAGATCCATAAATGTAAACCTTTTCTTTTTGTTTGAGCTTCAGTGCAACCACTGCTTAATTGTTACCAATAAAAGGATCAACAGACATAAAGTACCCATGAGTATCAGATAGTCATTGCAATTTCAACAGAACTAGGCGACCATCAGGATGATTTGGGGTCCCCACAATGGCAGCTGACCTTTACAGACCACCACCATTGGCCAACAAAGTTTCCAAGAAAAGAGTGATACCGTGGCCATTAATAGGATGGTTGTGATTTGTCAGTAAATAATCTGTGCTATATGAATGATCTTTATTACCCCTAAAAATAATACACATTATAGTGAATAACATGAATGACTGGAATGTTAATAAGAAATGAGGCATCAAGCTTACCTCTGTACAGACAGAGGACAGCAATGCAGATGGCTCCCACTCCTTGCATCGGCCACTGATGGAGCATTGATGTAAAAAGTTTAAGGTTTTTTTTTTGTCTAAATATAGATCTATGTTTATCCCAAGACTATTTAAATGTACTTACTGTTAATTTATTCACTACATTTGCTGGATCTCTCTTCCAAGCATCAACTATTCTTTCAGAAGGAAAATACTTTTATATAATCTTTATTTTACTAATCTTTAAAGTATTATTTTACCGAAAGAGCAGTGGATGATATGAATAGACCTCCAGCAGAGGTAGTGAGTAAATCAACAAAAGGAGTATATGAAATTCCTATCCTCCTCAGTGCCATCCTGGGGCACAAGTAGCGGGCGAAAGGCATCCACACAGCTATAGGCTGGGTGTGACAGTTTTATAAATTAACCTGTAAGTTAATTTTAACATGTTTGGGGTGCACATAGGTTTGTATCCAGACAAAAGGGTTATAAATAAAAACAGTAACCCCTCCTCCCCGAAAAAAAAAATTATA